TAGCCGTAAACAGTCACCTTGCATAGTAGTTGGCTGCGTACGCGTTCGAGATGCCGGACTCCTGAATTTGTGATTTTTATTTGTATTCTTCAAAGGTATGTGTTGGAACGTTGGTCTTTCTTCTTATTCTTCTTCTTCATGAAAATGTCCTGCTAGAGCTCGTTTTTTCTAGTCGCGTAGTATTCGCAGGCAGCAATGAGATTTCAGGCTGCAATAGACATTGTGTCCTCGTTCACAAAGCTCTTTCTAGAATGCCAACGTGAACTGACTTCCAGAATTTCACAGTGCGTGTACAAAAATTAAAATACCTCCTGCATCATGTGATGGCCTACTGTTTTTAACTGAATCTGTTGCCTAATCTAGTTTTTTGTCAGTCTCAACTATGCTTACAAACAATCTCGAAGGTACCCAAGTAAAAATTTCCTTGCTTAAAGGCGTTTAAAGGCCCTCACTAAACAGACCATTCGAATGTGATACGCATAGGTTGTTCGGTCGTATGCTGCAAATTGCCTATAGAAAGGGCTCCACATTTTGCACGCAGCATGGAAGCCGGCAAAACATTTTGTATCCAGGCGAGTAACTGTGTGAGTTTTTTTATATTTTGGTCCTAGAGGGATGTGTGAGGAGGCAGAAGCTTGGTTGGTCACATTAAGGCAAGTTATATGTGGACGCAATTTCTACAGGTGTCTTAAATATCTTCAGCTCTTCCCGTCAATAAAGAGGTCTTATAGACAGACTTTGCGTAGAACGATATCAACACGTGAACGTACTTACCTGAACTAGTTCCAGCCAACGCAGACCTAAAATCTACGGAACGGCTGCAAACTTTGTGGAGAGAGGGACGGCTCACTAACGTGCGTTTGCGCTTTAACATAAGTACTACTGTTCTCATAAATTCTAAACTTAAGGGGAAAAACTGATAGTAGCATATGTGCCGTCATTTATGTGTACACCAGCGGCTCGTTTGTCATCCCAAGGGTCCAGTATGTGATTCAATATTTTTCTCACTTTTAACTGTATGAATTTGGGATTCTGTCAGTTACTTTTTAACCCCATTGTTATTTTCTTGTAGTTTAAGTATTGGTAGTTGTGTTGTGGGACTTCAGTCGTTCCAATTTATGCTGTCAAGCCCACTAATTCACACACTCCGGCATTGGTTTCTATTGGAATGTTTTTCGGTTCCCCACAGGTGGCAGTCCCATTTGATATAAGCTTTCCTCAGAAGCGACTCGGACCTACTCCATCAGTAACCCCTGATAACCAATGCAAGGTCATAGAGGAGTCTAGTAAGCAGACAAACTCATTTAACAATCTTTGGTAGTGGGGTTAGTCAAATGCAAGAATAGGGTTGGCAGAGCTGCATTTTTGGGCCACATGGACTGTAGTACCACTTCTCACTTCTCGGACTTCCTCGAGACGCGTAATAATATCTATTTACACAACCTTCCCCACCTTTCAAATTAATAGTTCTTCTTACAACACCACACGTTGTAACCTTTGTGGAAACTCTGCGAATGCTGTGGACTGAATCAGCAACCCATACATTCTCAGCAAATGATGTGGCAAGACCACTTGGCACTAAACAGACAGGTGATTGTGCGCCACTGCAAAATCTCAAATGTGGTGTTTTTAAATCGGCAGATTATTTGCCATGATTTTGGTACTCCCTAGGCTCAGATCTAGTGACCAAAAATTGCAAACCTTTCGTCCTATTACTTCTGAAGTATAAATCCTTTTGAACGTATTATGTTGACTCATATTTATCACTTCCGTTCCTCTCTCCAACGACACAATTGCATCAGTTCAAGTTACTGATGAAAATGGGCGTAAGCCTTTTTGAACTCTACATGAAAAGTTAAATTGGGTGCATTGGACAGAGAGATCGTTCAAATGGACCCATAATATTTTGATAAATTAAGCGTGAGTCTCAGCGGCTGAGCTCGATCTCTCATCACTCCTGTCCATTTCGAAGAATAAATTTGTCAAGGTCCATTCTAAAATTTTATATCAATGTTGACATCAGAGCGCCTTCTGAGAGGTCATTCCATGCTTTTACCACCCTAACAGAGTAGAACTCCCGTGCATCCAGTCCATTACTCAGAGTGAAGAGGTTAAGATTTCTTCAAAGGGCTGCATAAGGAGAGGGGGTTCGGTCCCTAACCATTTCCGCGGCTCTCCTCTGCCATTTTCAAGACCGTACAGTCCGGACATCGAGTTTTTTGCCATTCTCAAATAATGAGCGAATGGTTTTAGGGACTTAGTCGTCAGCACGCCGAGGTCCTTTTAAGCTGGACCGTCAAGAAAGTGATTTCTCGTTCTGGTATTCTGGTTGAGGTGTCTAAGCAAAGTATACTAATATTACCGACGTTGAGCTTCAAGAAACAACGGTTTAACCACACTTTAAACTGTTTTAGGCCTGTGTACAGTCTATTTTCGTCGGCAGCGTTCTGCATTATACTCCATGCTTTCATGTTATCAGCAAAAATTTCTAGTTCGCAATTCAAAGGTCCTGCTCAGTCGTCCACGTATATCAGGAACAAAATGGGTCCCAGCACTAAACCCCGGAGAACACCACTCTCAACAACGCAGGATCTGAATTTCCTTAATCGATGCGCACAGCCTGGTGCCGACCCACAAGGAATTTTTCGATCCATTTGAGTGAGTTACCTCTGATTTCCATTTTTCAGTTTATTTAACAGTCTCTGGTGTGGCATAGTGTCAAATGCCTTCTGGAAGGCAATGGAAACGATTTGGACCGCGTGCCTGTCGTCGAGTGTTCGAATTCAACCCAGGAGAGATTGAAGTAAATTTGTAGTATAGTATCTTGCTTTCCGGAATGTGTGTTCTTAGTTCAATAGTAGGTCGTTAACTCTTCTTGATAATCTCCATAAGTTGACTGAGAAGGCATATCGAGCATATGGACCTCTAATTTTCGTCAGCAGCCTCCAATCGCCTTTGTATAGAAGAGTTATGTGCGTTGGCTTCCAGTCGATAGGAAGCGTTTTAGTGCTAGATGATGTTTGAAAGACTGTCGACAGAAGCATTAAAAGCTCATTGGCAAGTACTTTGGGAATGTTGGGTGGGATCTCAATTAGTCCTGGAGTCTTTCAACACCACTAATTCTCTTCGATCAGGACTCTCTGGACAGAATATATCACTCATGGTTGAAGTCGGCAGGTCTTCTGTGGTGGAAGGAAGGAGCTTTGCCTCGTTTATGTAGACGAATTGGGAAAACTGGAAAATACACAACTTCATCCCCTCTAGTAGCAATCTCAACGCCATTGGTAGTCTTTATTGAGGGGATTGCATGTCTATTTCTTGCGCCTATTTTGAGGTAGACGAGGCGTAATTTTATGTTCTGTGTTGCCTTTCGTAGCAAATTCATTTTGAAGGTCCGGCCCGTTTCTATACTCATGCTCCTTTGTTTGGTTCTCGGTGTCCTATAGATAGATAGATAGATAATTTTTATTAAAGACCCGTCGGGGTCCCATCAAGGCAAGTTAAAATAAATTTACATGCGAGTTTTAGACGAGGTACGCAGAATCTTTACAAAATGCAATTCATAGTTTCTGAATTAGTAGTCCATTGAGAAGCATGATTAATGAGGTGTGAAAAAAAAACTCCATACAAAAAGTTAAAAATGATTGGATTAATTTTACAGGAGGCTTAAATTTTCAGCTTGTCCAACGAAGCAGTATTTTCTCAACAATTCATGCTTCCTGGTAATCCCTCTCCTTATGTTGTTATTAAGTCATCCAAATCGGTTATTCTGTCCTACACTCCTCAGCGGGCTGTGGTTGTTGATGAGCTGCAGAAGGACGTTTTTGAACAGCTTCCAGACATCAGTTGCATTACCCGTGAACATTGAGATTCGTTTGAGGCCGAATAAATCTCTCCATATCTACTAATAACTGCTATTATCGGGCACAGGTGCTGAGAAAAGAGGGGGCAATACAACGTAAATTACCTCGTATTGGCCCGTTTTAAATTTTTCTAACAATTTCTATTTTCCCTACTGTCAAATCACGGTACTTTTGATGTGTTGTTAAATTTAACTGGCCTTGAATCCCTGAATTGCAATCTTATTCACCAATTTCGCCCACCTTATCAACATAGTGAGTTTTGGCACTTCAATCCTACACTCTTTGTTAGACTTAGGCCTTGTCGTCAGCCCCACGCACTATTATTAAGTGTCATGTTTCTCTTTGCATTACGAATATCTTCGGCAGGCAAATCTGTAAAGGATGATTCCCGGTCAATAGGTGGGATGCATGGCATCCCCAGCCTTGAATACGGATCCCGTAACGGAAGATGTTGTACGCTATCGGATTGTTGCTGCTCGACTAGCTGCTTCATTTCCGGCCCTAAACAGCTTTATACAGTTTCCTGGAAACTCTAAGTCCTAAGTTGGGTTAAAAACCATGCAGATTTTGACAAAAGCATTGGATTGTGCAGCGAGCTGTGAATTTGATCATATACCTGAAGATTCAGAATTCTCCCTCTGTCCAGCCTTTGAGTAACCAACGCCAGCGAAGATCACGTGGACTTTGTGAACTGATCGACTTTGCTTGCAGTCAATTGGCTCTCCTCTTGCTTCATGGGGTGCGGTTAGGTTGCAATTTTGGAAATGGACACGCAGCACATTAAACGGGTGCAGGTTGATGGTCTAGTGTTGACTAAGATTATCACACATAGTCAGGAGGAAACCCTTCTTTCCTCTGATTCGGTCGGCGGAGTATTGCTTGGTCTCACGGTTGGGGATACGCTTGAAATTACCAATTGTTTTCCTCTCCCAAAAATTACCGATGATGATCAGAGCACTGGGGAGGCGGTTAGCGCTTATGAATTCGACATGATTAAGAACATGCGACAGGTTCGGAGTTATTTATTACCAATGCTTCTAGTTGAACTCGGACTACTTAACAGTCGGGTTCTACCAAAGTGGTTACGGCAGTTCCTTCTTGAATCGATCTACGCTGGAGTCCCTCTTCCAGTATCAGATGCAGATATCTGAAGCGGTTCTCCTAACGTACGACCCATCATGTGCCACACGTGGTCAGCTTGGAATGAAGGCGTTTCATCTTTCCCAACAGATCCTAAACGCCATGTTGGAAACAGAGACACGTCTTCGCCTAAACGCCAACTTAAAGGTCTGTCACAAATTAGCTTTCCTCATTTTTGCGGTTGAATACGCATTTTCTTCTTTTTGTTTTTCACGGTTTCATTCGGGTCAAGCTGATGTGCAGTCATGTGGCTTGTCTTGTATCGTACACAGCTTCTCCAGTTATAAACTGGAACCAAAACTGCCTTTTAAACCCCCTCTGCTCGGTATACAGACTCACTAGCTCATGGACACTGTAGCTAGATAGCACGGTTCTGTAACAGTAGTTTCTGCCCATTAGGAGCTTCGTAGCTCGCACTTGCTTGAGACCCTTTGAAATACCGTGGGAACAAGCCTAGTTTCTACTCCTTTTGCAGCAGTAGACCTCGCTTAAAGGCTTGTGCTATTTTGTAGTGTTTTTGACTGACAGAAGAAACCACAGTGGTTTCATCTGCTTCTTTTGCCCATTTTTACTCTGTCTAGACTCGCCCAAACCTAACCTGTTTGCTGAAGGCGAATTGTCATCATGCCTGAGGTTTTGGATAGTACTTGTGCTGGAAGTATGTTTATCAAATCCTCATATATGTCAACCTAATACTGGCTGTCCACTAGGGACTCGTGAATATTACATGGCTACTCCGCCGAAATTGATTGAATCTGGGTCATCCGTGCAGCATATTTTGAGACAAACTCGAAAAGGCTTGTTCTGAGAATCAAATTCCAAGTTAATGCGTTGTTTTTGGAGTAAATCAAACTGGTAAGCATAGTGATGTCGGCAAATACTTTCACCGTCAAGCAGAGGGCGTAGGGATGACTTGCGCGTGGAGCAGGTCTTTACTGCATTGCATTCGCGTCGTTAACAGCAATTAACAACGCGAATGTCGGCCATCAAACAACCATCATACCACGTGCAACGATCCCTGATGAAGGGTAGCCGTGAATATTCATAGGTATGCGGTAGCATGGCGACTGCATCCTATAAATACTACAGCCCCTTACACATGAACCACCCGTATCTGCTTTTTTCTCTGATGATGGGTTCGAGCAGGAATCCGAAACGCCGAGTAATAAGGCTCTTGTCCCAACGATCGTGTCTCCTACTGTAACTCCGGAGTGGCCTGCCAACGCACGCTAAAGAAGCCAGTCGGTCACGTGATTAGACCGCGTTTGCATTCCAAGGCGTCCGGGCTGCCCCTTAGCCTAGCTGCTAGCTACCCGGCGCGTCCATAGATTCATCATCACTCACATCCATAGATTGTGAATAGTGAAACAGCCTTAGGCGAAGGTTAGCTGCTAAATAGGCAGACTTTCGGTTCTGGCGACTAAGTGGTCACGGACCGGCTGCGACAGTGTTACTAGGGTGCGGAGGGCTGGGGTCCTGCACGCCAGCGGCCCTAGAAAATGCCGCAGACCCCGACGACAGCACTGCGACATAGCGACCGTAAACCGCAATTAAACAATTTTTGCTTGCCACCGCCGCCTTGTAGTTAGGTTCTTGGACGAAGGCACTGGAGAAAGCAACCTCGAACAAATTACCCGATCAGCTGTTGGAGATCCGCCTGGACTCATAATTCACAAAAAACTGAATGGAAATATGTCCGAAGGCAGTGTTACGATCTATGCTACGGTGCCCGCGGGAACGGACGCGCTCAACAATCCTATTCCAGTGCTGCAACCAGGTAATATGCGAGCTGGATTACTCAGTCGGGAACGAACCATAGGTATTACTTGCCGGAATGCGTGAACGCTTCTAGACCCTGGTGCCCAAAATCTGACGGCACACAGTCTTCGTCAGTGCAATGTGGATATTCGCTGCCTGCCGGAAGTCCAGATTCCCGACTCTGGCACTTGGAAAATAAAGACCCCGAGAGTCAACCTACTCTTCACCCTGTACCGCAGCAGCCCACGCGACTCCTCTGATAGACACAGTGTGACGATCGTCCTGTCGCAACCACCGAACCGCGCACTACTTGCTCAAGAATCAGTCAATTACCGAATGACTTATGTGCAACTAGACGGTCACTTTGGCTTTGTTCACGATGAGACAGTGCTTAGAGAATGCTGAACTTTGTTGATCAGAACGAACTATTTGTCACCAACAGGTTTTTCCAGCATCGCCGCAAACATCTTCTGGCCTGGTACTCAAACAACGGTCATGCGGGGAGTCAGGTCGATTACATTCTAAGCCAGGTGCCAACGTTTTTTAAATCTTGAGGACAAGCTTCCAGTCCGTGTGAATCCCACGTAAATGAAGAGGTGGCTTAATGATCGTGTTTGGTTTTTTTGATTGGTTTTGTACCTACCTGCGTTTTTCCCTTCCAGCCTATGGGGACGTTGGCCTTTCCAAGCTTGCTTTTGTCATCCACACTTATACCATAATTTTATATTCTGGGATTCTTTGTTGCCCGACTTGTCTTTCTTTAGCTCTTCTTTTCTTCCATTTTAGGCCGCCGAAACGACCTGGGAATGTGTACGTACTTTGTTTTGCATATTTCCATTCTTGTCCTGACCTGTTATTTTTTTCGGTACAGCTTACCTGGGTTGGTAGTCACTTTATAAGGAGTACGGACGAGGTGATTAAGGAGGCTTGGTGGGAAAGTTATGCCATTTTATCACTATTAGTCGACCCTGCATCAATCCCAGACCGCAAATGCCCTCGTCTAATTGGTTATCAAGCACTTAAGACCAACATCGCTCTGTCGCTTGAGTCGCGGGCACATGCCCTGTCGGCAGCGACCGAAAAATAGAAAGCTGGAATTGGCATTCCAGTCTGCGCTGGCTGCTCGCCGTTATGCTACTGCCTGTACAGACTCCAGATTTTAACTCCAAGGCAATACGCAACGAGCAGGCTCCTTCCTGCCATCAGATCTCCAAAGCGCCACATCTACCTAACTTCTGTGAATATAGGAGTCCTCCTTACAAAGCAGACATTCACCCTTTCCTTCTTATAAAGCCCTCTGACGAGAAAATTTCAGTTGCACTTCTTTATCCACGTCTTAAAACACTTTTATTGGGTAGGCGTATTTGCTAAAACTTAACTGGCGATGTTATGTTTATTGAGCATTGCCATTGAGCAGACTGAACTGGAAAGTCCTGAGATCTCAGAGTAAAAGACATTTTAGTCAAACATCTCAGCCGCGGAACTGCAGCCTCATGCCTTATCGGCTATTGCAGGGCACGCCTACGTCACGCATATCCATTTTGTTCTACCTAGGACCTCGCCTCTGGTCGTTGTAGGCGGCCTCCTATTGTAGAACAGTCAGCAATCAGTATAGGTTCACCGGAAAGATAAGGAGTCTCATATGAGTGTCACCGGGACGCATATTATCCTCGGTTCATTGCTTTTAGGTCATTGACTAAAAACTGGAGCCGTATTGTTGCTACTGTTCTGCCTCCGGATCTGTCTATTCATCCAGTAGGTGGTTACTGGCTGTAAAAAGAATCCCTTGAAAAGGGTCATTGAGTGGAACAATATAAGAAAGTCGTCAATTCTGGTGCTCATTCCCATAACTCTCCCATGATGGCTTTTTGCCTTCTTCCCTGCATCTTCTAAATGTTGATCGACTTGTTTGTCCTTACGTGGATCGTTATTTTACTTGTTTTGTCGAAGCAAAAGCGAGGCACCCTGCAGGGCTGGGGTTTTCAGTTCATGGGACTGCCACATTTGGAGGGTAGTGCGACGCTTCAGAAGCACGCTCGACGAAACTTCAAGAGCTCAGGTGACACCCAGTTGCACCGAATTCCTACACTTTTGAGAGGATTGTTAAGGAGTTGCTGTTAGTGTAGATATTTTCTACGCAATCGCTTATCGGCCGAGGTGTATGCTATTCCGTTAGTGTTTGAATTTCGCATCCCCCAGTGTCTGTTTAGGAGCCCAGGAAATAATAACTTTGTTCTTCAGAACTGACAGGCATAGGTTATCTTTTTTAATTATCTTCTTACCCGCATAGAGATCTTTTATATAGGCCTTCCCTTGGAAGGACACGGGGATAGGAACGCCGCGTGATACAGATGGCTTTACGCTAAATTCCAGGGAAATGGTAGGGGGCGCTCACCGATCGTTCTTACGGGACTCACGCGTTCCGTTGTGCCTTACGGGCTCTCTCTCGAACCCAACCAGCAGCCGCACAGCGGCGCATGATCTTGGCAGTATGTTATTACCGACAAAGGCAAGCCTCGGGTGTTCCACACTTCGGGGTTGGGTATGACTGGCTGACGACAGCTAATAAACCAGAAATGGCCATTCCAGTCTCCCTTGTCTTTGTCGGTAATAACATAACTCTAGGGAAACTAGGGTCAAGGTTGAGTTAGGGCTCTGAAATAGGTACCCTCCATGGGGTTTAGAGCAACGCGTCCTGTATTACGGGGTTTACTCCTATTCTCATGTCCTACCGGGGGAGGCACCTAATGACAGTCGTGTGACAGGCCTAATCGGGTTCATTCTCTTTGTCGGCCGCCATTATCGCGTCCCCTAGCGCCGTGCCCTTGATTAAGGCCGATGTAACGGGGAGCGTGTTCGCATGCCTAGTAAAATGAGACAGCAGTTTGCCTTCTCCCTAGGACCCCTCCCTGCACTCGGGCAAAACCAACTTTACTCGCCTTTTGGAGGAGTTGCCAATTAAGGTGCACAACTCCAAGCTAGCAACCATCCTGCTGCAAGACATGGTCGACCAGTCTGACGCGCCAGTGGCCTCGTCCAACATGTCTGACAGTTCCTTCAACGTGAAGGCATTGAACAGCTTCTCTGGCCTCCATCTCAGCATGGCGAGCAATCTGGAACAGCAACTGCGTTCCCTACTTCTTCGGTTGGATGCCATTCATGAGCTGCAGTACAGCTATCAGAGAACGCTGGTTAAACTGGCCGGCACCAGTACCACCAAGGTACCGGCTTGTAATTTTTGTTTTGGTCAAATGTCTTTTCACGTTTCAAATGTCGTCAGTGCAGTGTTTAGGTGGGCGTCGCTCCCAGGAGCAGAGTTTGGAGCACTGTTCCCTTCACCTCTAGCTCGGTTGGCTGTCTAGAGTGGGGGAGAAGAGTCGCAACCCAAACCAAGTAGTCGGTAATAGGTGGTAATTTTTTCGATTTTAAAATGAAATCTATTTAGTTAGTTAGTTGGCAACTGACTGAGATAATGAACGTGGTATCACTTGGTGCTACCCTGGCCTCCCATCTAAACCTTTCTACGGCCACCTATTCCAGTACTAATGTGGAAAACCGCCGCTTAGGCAGTCTATTGCTTTTTTGACCCACTTGTAGTTATAGTTGTCCTGCAAAGCGCCACTAAATAACCACAGCCATTTTGTGGAAAATTGAATATAAAGTATATGACCTATCTCATGAGGGTTGCCGAAATCTACGAAAGACTGCTAGTCCCTCGCAAACCGGCAAATGTGGATTCATTTGACCCAGTTGTGAGAAATTCGGCGGCTTTGGTGGGATTCGAGTCCACGCCTCGTAGTCATCTGGTGGATTCTAGATTGCTTGCTTAAAAAATCCTGCTTGGGCAAGCAGTTCAGTGTACTATAATTGATGGGTTCCGGACGTTGCAGTAGGCTGGGCGGGTAATTAGACCCAAGTGGGATTAAACTCGCGGCTCCCGGTGGGTTCACGTAGCCAAGTGGTCAGGGCATTGGCTGTACTCAAACTTTGTCCTTGCTGTCATGGGTCCGAATCCCATCGAGACCGTTAAGTTTTCACAACTGGGTCCAATGAATTACGAAAGATTGCCAATGCTCCGCAAACCGGCGTAAAAGAGTGGATCAAAGCTTTGAAATAGTAATGAGCGACTTTAAACTAATTGAGATCATAGGAGAAACATTAAAATGCATATTAAATTCTTTAGAAGTACCAAATTTTTTAAACGTCAAAAACCGTTGCAACTGAGTAAACTGAAGTTTTCGATGTACAGAAACACTGTCTCTACAAAAAGCCGCGTAAATAAAACAGCACAAGTAGATCAGCGTTTGAAAATAGTCCTTTAGTGGAGTTTGCACCTAAATTTCTATTAGGAATTAGTGTAATGTCAACCATGGCGGTTAGCCAACATCCTGCAGTCTAAATATAGATTCCAACACGGTTTCACGAGAATCGGCTGTATTTTTTGCTTGATTTCACTGGTAGCGGTGAACACTTCACGATTTTCAGTGTTTTCAACCGATTGTCCATAAATGAAGATTCTGTTCGGTTAAAATCCTAAAAATAAGACGCTTCCTGAAAGCATTTACTGAAGTGCGGAGTTCTTGGGCATTCTTCCTAATGCAGATGGCCTTTGGGTCATATTTGCGGACTCGCCCAAACATCGCCGAGAACAATGAACGTCCACTACGAAAGTCGGTAATGAATAGCCCTTAGATCAATTGAAGGACGCGAATGTTAACCGACCGTAGTACCATAAATCTGATAGCGCGCTGGCTTCATCAGTATAGTGGCATGTCTGCGGCCCGCCAAAAGTCTGAATCTCCGACTCAAGCACTGTGGGGGGGGCAAAGACGCGCGACGCAAATCCCGTTTCACTCCGGTCTCTGCAACTTGTCGGATTGATGCAGTGTTGTGGTGGCTCATGGAACTGGCGAAACTTTCGTTGTTTGCATGAGGACCAAACAATGGTTGGCGGCTGCCTCATGTACGACCGAACGGCGCTTCACCGGCATCGGCTGTGGACCAACGTGTTAAAGAAGCCTTCCACTCTCAATCACAGGAACTGATTGAAAAATTCCCTCACTGTGGTATGCTGATTGTTGTCGAATACTGGAATAGGCAGAATGGCATTACCGACAAAGACAAGGGAGACTGTCTCCCCTGTCTTTATCGGTAATGCCATTCTGCCTATATCATGCGCCGCTTTGCGGCTGCTGGTTGGGCTCCAGAGAGAGCCAGTAAGGCACAACGAAACGAGTGAGTTCCGTAAGAACGACCGGTGAGCGCCCCTCTACCATTGAAGACTGGAATGTTCGGTCAAAGCTAGGCGCCCCACTAAACAGTCACATTGTTAGGGAAGCAGATGCGATCACTGGAATAAGGAGTTTATTAGTCGGATGTTTTGGATTCTCACTCGAACTCATCTTTAGAAACAGTTGCCGTTCGTGTTAGCGGAGGCACAAGGAGTGCTGTGTTTCTAATACGCAGCAGTCGTGGGACTAAATACGTAGTATAATTTGCAGCTCTGGCGACCACCGCTGTGAGTCGTAATTGATGTGATGATGGCTTGTCGGTCCGCGTCCAAGTCGTTAATTACTGCTATTTTATCATCCGTGTTGGATGCTGGCGTGATAAGCACGCGGCCATTTGGCTCGCTGTCACTGGAGTTGTTGCTGGAGTTAAACTCCGAAACGTCGGGCCAATAAACTTCTTGTTGTAGTGATCGCATCTTCCTCTTCTATGCTTCTTCCCGGAACTCGCGTGTTCGCTTCTATCGACAGTCACATTGCCGGCCGCTTTAAGTTTGCTTCCCTATGTGATAATTGTGAGCGAATGTTAGACCCTCCTGACTAGCACCGGCTAGTTGTCACCAACGCATATTTGCGGTATCGCCGCGAACATCTTTTGACCGGACATTTAAACGATGGTCATGCGACCAACCAAATGATCGACGTCCTAGCCAGTTTAAGGTTCTGAAACTGGGCCCCCGATAGTATGTGTTCGTGAGGCCGAAACTGGCAATGCCTGCGAGTCAGACCATAATTTTCCCTACGCACACCTTAAGGTTCATTCTTTATCCGCACGCAAATTGTCGCATGCAAGTCTGCTTGATGTGGTAAAGTATGACAAGCGAGCTCTGCTGGGGCTCTAGTCGCAGAAATTCGGCATCGCCTTGCAACCCAAATCAGAGTAAAGTAGTCGCAACTGTTCACCATACCTATCCTTAGTCCGCGAGGTTTGTTAACCCGACATCGGCGGCGCAGTTATAGGTCAGTGAGGGAAGCTTAGAGTTGTATTCCCGAACCGCTCGATATAGGTCCTACAACTATGGCCGCAAATATTATGGGATATTTCAGTCTATGACTTGATTCGCTCCGGGATAGCGTCAGGTGCGTCCTATCAACTAAACGGCTCGGTCGCATACTTTTACGGCCCCGCAGGCTTCAAATACCTACCTGGAATGACCCTAAAAGTTTTTTTTTCTGTTGTGCCGACAACTACCGATATTGGGTGCCAAACATTTGCTGGAGAAATATGTTAAAAGGAGCCTGGTGAGGCTACCGCACCGATTTTCTATCGCATAAAATCCACTCGATGTGAGTATTAAAGCAAAGCCTTTGTGCGCAAGAAAGACTCGAACCTTGTAGCTTCGTTGTTTCACCAGATTTCCACTGCGTATGTTACTTCCAAAGAAAGTGCGCCTGAGATTCTTCAAGCAAAAGGCAAGTATATGTCTTGGTTCCATTGATATGACTAGACATAGCGATCCAGTAGTCATCAGGTCGCCCCCACCCCCCATCTCCGGATGAGGATGCACCATACAGACGTAAAAAGTGTGGTCGGCATTAATCCTAATCACTATTGCAGATCAGATCTCAGATCGTGATTGGAATCCGTAATCGGTTGAGTACGCGGTTGCTAGGGCGCCAGTCAATGAGCGCCACCCCGGAGAAGTCGATTTGAGTAGGGTGCGTTCGTGCCTTGAACGAATACAATAACCGCTTGTGTTTATTATGACAAGGTTGTCACGGCGCGTGATTTCAACTCACGTCTCTGCGCTTCATTCCCTCCCCCTCAGGACTCGATTCATTTGCCCCATCTAACGGCTCGATTGGAGCCCCAGCAGGAGGAGGGCGGGGCGGAGCGGGGGTCGCACGTAGGAGGGGGAGCCTTGTGTGTGTAAACAGTGACAATGCGTGAAAAGTCAGTAACTATGCCGATTTTTTGTGGTTAGACCTCTGGCAACCACATAAAAAGCGGGGTCGCCAAAACCCTGTTTGCCTTCCTGTTGTCCCCCCTTATAATCGGTTCCATTCTGTTTCTAATGGGATGAAGAGGGGTGGGGGGCGGGGCGGTGGGAGTGATCGTTCGCCGCCGATGAAGAGAAAATAGACGACTTGTCTAATCCTCAAAGTCTAATTTGGAGCAGGTTTGAGTGTTTTCGTAATCGGTTGCCTTAATTGAAACTCGCATTACACGAATTAGGACAATTTTTCAAAAGCATATTTGTTTATTTTGGTCTTAGCACATATATTGACTCCAACGTCTCCCTCAGGACGTTGACCATTTCGGCTTGACTTTTTATATGCTTTACCTTTAAGTAGTAATCGGAACGTTGTATGGATGGTATTTGATTAGCGACAGGCCTGTCGATTACGCTGACGGAACAAAGTCCCCACCTGCTTTGGTTACTAATAGTTTTTCGTCACCGTCTGTGTACGAGAAACTGGACGTATGCAACCATGGGCATACCCTTTTCTCTGTATTAAAAGAATTCTTCTATCGTAATATTACCGTACATCATATCGAAGTGGGGGGAGTCCGCCGAGCCTGAAGGCTTCCTGAAATGTCAGTAGGTACTCCGATCGTTTCGGTTCCTTAGCCGACTACTTCTGGGTGTGGTTTCTGTGGTTTTTAAGTATAGACGTTTTCAGATTAAGACACTAATTTAAAGCCTTCACCTTTGTAGGGAGTTCCTAAACCATCCTTTTTCTCCACATGAAACCTAACCAGCAAAAAATTTAGACGTTCGCGACAAAGGCGTGCAATATTCGCTCTTGATTAACTGACGAATCTTCTCCAAAAATCGTTTTGCCAAGTCACTTTTTCTAAAGCAAAACTAAAGAAAAATAAAACATGTGATTTTGTGACTGATATTGAAAACATTTTCGCCGATTTTATGTTAACAGAAACGAATGTTTTCAAAAATACTTTGCTATATGATCAAAAGGATGAACAACCATTCTCTATAGGGTCTTTTCGCAATTAATTATTGAATGTCAGTATTGGCCTGGAAATTACGGATGTGGTTAGATAAAAGACTTTTGGCGTCATTACCGCCTTTTAGGGTGCAAAACGCACACGTTAAATGCGTACAATCTTTTAAAAACTCGCTTCTCCCAAAAAATAACGTCATCCAAGTCTTGCCTATTCTGATTTACGCGGGCAAAAATCGTTTCAGACTGGCAAGACCTGGCAACAGGCAGCCAGTATGTGACCGAACACAGGAAGCTTGATGACAGAAGCTGAAATAAGAATTTTCGGACGCATTAAACATTGCGCATTTTATCCACTCGCCGAGTCCCTCCTGGTTAATGTCCTTTCATCGTGGAGAAAATGTGTCCAAGCAATTTTATCAGGCAGTGTTCATAAATTTGAGCGAGAATGGACGTTGCAATATATTCGAACAATTTTCTCTGCTAATACCTGTCCTAGATTTCGTTTGCGCATTCGGCCATGTTTTTCTTCGTGAGGAGAGTAATTTGTCCTCGAGAGCGTTTACTAGACAGAGCTTGTCGTACTTTAAAATCGATTATTTGTCTGAGGACCAGACGTTTTGTCGATTTTTAAGGGTTATCATAACAAATGTGTGTGATGTCCTCTCCCAAAGTGCGGTAATAACGCACACAGACAATTCATCGTCTAAATGGATCAACATTGTTTTGCCGTTTGGAAAACATTGTGAGTCGACATCAAAATGACTACCATCGAATAGTCATTTCCAGTTTTGAACATATGAAGGTCTATTTTCTGCATAAACGTAATTTAGAAATGAAACGACCAAAACATTAACATTTCTAGCAAAATACCGGTATTTACATGGTTAATCTGCTGTGCATTTATAACTCTAGACCAGAGCCTTGAAATGCACGTAGATAGCGAAAATTACCGCAGTATAAGGTGAAAGACATGTTCTTCCGTTGGCGGCAGAAAAATGTTCAGTATTTTTGTAAAAACTTGAAAGAAACGGCCAAAAGTTTCGACTTTTGGCCCCACCATGTAATAATGTAAAGTACACGGACATCCGTCAATAAAATGCAATATTACGGCACTACTTAAACGGGCGACTTATTAGAGCAAGTTTTCCAATTGATCGAAAGCATATTCTTTGTTGGCCTTTTTGTGTACGTTCATTTTTTCCGACACTGAGGTTCCATGCGTGGGTATGTCTGCAAATGTGACCCAAACGACGATCTACACGAAAAGGAACATCTAAAGAATCACTCTCTCGGCAAATCTCTTCAAGAAGTATCTTTGCAGGTTTTATAAACACATAATATAGGACCTGTCTTCATTGGAAATCAATTGAAAACACTGAAATCATGAAGTGTTCCGCGATATTTTAGGGCAGATCTAAAACTGCCTAATTAAAAACAAAAGAGAAGTGCAAATTAATCTCAGAAAAGTTTCATCTATATAGACAAAATGGTGTTTGTGATTGCGCCCGTCAATTCTATTTAAATCTACCAGTATCTGACCGGCCTGGCAACATGTCACTGTGGCGTAATCAGGCAAAATCCTGTTTGCCTTAATGAATCTCATGTCACTTAATGCAGAAGCAATAAGAAGTATGGCGAATTCTCTAGAAACCGTTTTGGAGTCTATACTCAGAATGGGAATTGCTGGAAACCGCCATACCTGACATCATACTAATTCATGAATGCAAACCTCATTAAAAGACTCTTGTCAAACGTCCTTCTATTTGTGCTGTCTCATTTATTCAGTTACTTTGTATGGACAGACATTCCATACATTTAAAGCCGGAATTTACTTAATTACAACCATTTTTGACGGTTTCGGAACTTTCCGCTTTTCTAAAACAATTCGATTTCTCTAAACGGCGTAATATTACCTCTGATATTTCTCTTACTTGTTCCATTCGCTTGAAGTTTTCTTCGTTAATATAAATATTGGGTCTATGCATTTATGCCGTTTTGCGAGTGATTAACAATCATTGGTTAATTCCCACACCTTTCATCATTTGGGTCATCTACTGTACGTAGGCTGCACGATGTACCATGGTCGACAATACATGTCTTTTGTTTAACGCTTTACGCTAGTAATTAACGTATTCGATGTCCGCGTTTATCCGTACTAGCCGTCTGGATCCGGTTTACCTGTTTCATCAGGTTTACCACCTATACGTGGTAGTGCCGCTCGCCGAGTCAGTTTTATTTTGGGCGAAATGCGGCCTTGTTGTCTGGGATAGGAGTTGTGGTCTAGGCTACTCACAAGCCATCGCATAGAGTGAACCATCAGTAGTCGGCTGTATTTCGGTCGTATTGACTGCAGTGACGGTCTGTCGGGAAAGACGTCCCTACACAACGGCTGCTCCTATTCCGTCCTGCAATGAAGATTAATCTCCCATTGTCATTATTGCGACGGCCCATACGCAGTGTTTGTTTAGGTTTCCGACAGGCCACTGGTGTTGCCAGCCACACTTTGCTGGCCGGAAAGTAATGCGTTTTAAATCCTTTCAGTTTCGGCGGTCTTTTTGCGTCTTATGTGATGCACTGCTCCTAACTTCTTTTGTAGGAAATGCGCGTCAAAGATCTGGCCCCAATCCGCCTAGAGACCTCGCTCATGTCCGCCCAGGTTGATCAGTACGCCTCTAGCATTGCGCAACTAGCTGGCCAGACGGTGGGAAAATTGATGTTGGCCGAGGCGATCCACCAGTATCGCGACCCTCCAACACAGCTTGCCGAGTCTGTCGAATTGTCTGACTGAGGGACGTCACGGAGACTGAAAAATCTCTGTACACTCTGCTTCGCGTTCATTAATCACCTCCACTCTATCATTTTTCCATGATGTATATACCCTTGGTGGTGAATGGCGTTTCTGTTCTGATTTCTCATAACCTGTCTCCATCCACTGGGCTAGGCGGCCTCGCCATGCTGTTACCTCCCCTGTCACCATGATTATTGCGGATACGTGTGACACCTGGGTCGTGTGTGACACGTTAACCGTAGACCTCACGCCCTGTGCCCAGTCAATTTGATTCAGGCTTCCAATTTGTATGTACGTGAAAGAGGGAAGGGGAGTAGGGACGATCCAGCCTTTGCTCTCCTCACTAATAAGTAAATTAACACACTCTAGATTAACGCGGTGCGCCAAGCATCATGACTTGGTAGGTTGCCAACTGAACCAGAAGGGCGCTTGTTAACTGAGCATCAGCCCGAACTAGTTTCCCCTTGATGTAACTCCCGTGACAACTCATCGCCGGGACTCCACTTGCAGTCTGATTTGTGAGAATGAGCACATGTTAAGTCTCATTAATTTCCGCGTCCTCTTCCCCGCCCCCTCCCCATTGTCCTGAGTCCATCTCATCATTCGGGAAATAGTGGGTGAGATGAGAACGATTTAAATGTTGCGCAAGCCTCTCCCCAACCAAATTCGGTCGCAAGTTACGTGTGGGTGAGGTCTGACGGTCCCACCGTGTGCTTTGCTATAGAGTCCTCGTATATGAACGGGCATCAAACAAAAGGGGAGGATTCGCCAGTAGGCGGGAGCCTAAATCCCAACTCTGCGCGTTGCCGGCTGACACGCACAAATGATAGTCCATTTTCGGTCTGCCCTGTATTCCTACATTTCCGTGGCTTAGAAGACGAATGTTCTGGTTATTGCAGAAGAAAGTTCGACTGGCCAGTTCCGCGCAAGCTTTCCCTCGGGATTCTTGGCGCACTTCAAGGAATTTATACAAACTCTCCAAGATATCCTCCTACCAACGTTTTGCCTGCATCTCTACGAACATCTTGTGACGGTGTCGCCATAGGGAGTCGCTCAATTAGGCTGTCGTTGGGAATGCTCGCGACATGGGCGCTCCATTCAAGTTGCGTATGTTCTTACCATGAACACGTACCACGCACCTCCGCAGTTCTGCGTTGGGAATGATGCCACGGATGTTTCGACCTGAATATTTTTATTGCATCATGACCGACCTGTGAAAAACTGGGCGACCTCTGCGGGAATCAAACCCACGACAGCAAAGCGAAGGCTTAAGTGCAGCCAACGCTCTAGCCAGCCGAGCCACGAGGCTCCACCGGGAGCCGGGGATGACTACTCCAGTCTCGCTCTTTTCAGTCGCTACGCGACCGTCTGCGAAGATCGTAGATCGGCGCTTTAGGGAGGACTCCAGCGGACGCGTCCCGTCCTGCAATCGATTGGTGAATGCACAGTAGTGCCGTTTGGGTCATTGAACTCCTCGCGACACTGTACTGTTATGAAACAGCAGATAGAAGCCGAGCACTGCATGACAGGGGGGGGGGGTTAAAGGATTAGTTTCCGCTGTCCCCCCTCCCCTAGCGCAAGTCTCCGGTCTCGTAGACGCTAGTAACTTTAGACTTTCACTAAGCCAATCAAAGGTTGAAGTTATTGCACTGTCACAGTCGCCCTCAGCTGTGCCAAACCGCGGCTGTTCTCTAAGCGACAACCGGCAACAGTATGGAGAAGGACCCCACTTTATTGTCGGTAGGCTTTGGATTGTGTCATACGTGGTTGGTGATAAGGGGAGTTTTACAGGTGGGGCAGCACACTAGACAGCAAGCTGACGAAATGCAGGAAAACGCAGAAATTGTTTGAATTTCTCCCGGAGGACTCATCGTACGACGACGGAAACGAGCGCGGTAACTGAAAATAAACCAAAAGTAAATCTCAAAAGATAAGGGAGTTTGAGTGATGGTTCGAAGTCACGGCAAGTGTTTGTTACTGGCAGTGTAATGTCTGCAAAGACCTGCGAATGGATGCCAAGATAAAAGCTCATACGACGTGGCCCACAGTCAGTTAAGTTGGGTCCTTCTCCATACCGTTGCCCGACAACCGCACAAGTACTGGCTTGTTTGCCTTAAACGAACTTGGTTAACCACTGTTTGCAGCTGGGAGCAGTGGTGAATTGCGCGTGAATTTGTTTATGGTGGAACAGGTGCGTTCTGGGGCTGTCTAACCCCTGCCACGCGCGGGTCTACCTCATGCACGTAGACTTAATGTCACATTCGCTTGCGGCTGGCGTTATGCTTGCAGTGGATTCTGCTTATTTATAGGAGACTGGCGACACACTGGACGCTCACTAAAACTTGTTGCTAGAAGGACGGTCACCCCACAGCGGTCGCGCAGCAGTTGCAACTCATCAATCCGTTGCATCCAGCTGGTACACATTATTTCGGCCTTGAAGTTGACGATGTGGGAAACTCTTAGCCGGGACTGGTGACTATGTTGATGGCATTCTTCGGTCCAGCTACTCTTTGAGAAATGCGCTGGGCTTGGTCGAGTTCTCACTCATTCTGGGAAGTTTGGCTTAAGTGGAAATTCTAATCAGGACAAGCATTGCCTGTAGGCCCACCGCGAGACAACGGACGAAACCATCATACCATATGATCGCCCACTCTGTACTTTGCTCCTTTACATGAACTTTCTGACATCTGAAGCTTCCGGAAAGTGCAAGGGTTCCGCTCCAGCAAAACCACGCATACTAGCGGTGCTAATATAGCTGGGGCCAGAGGATCCCGCATCGAGTGATTCGCAGCTTAGTTGTCCTCCCTCAAGAGAATTTTGGCTTCATTGAGCCTGGACTTGAGGATTTATCCTTTCTCACCGGTAGTGCGTGTTCAGACCTCCGCATCCAGTGCGAGCCTCCTGTTTCTCTGATGTGGCTGCCTTGGTCGCGGGCGCGCAGAGTCCGGTAGGCCACTGGACGTTTCTTATGGTGGCAATGGGCCTTTGGACTTCATTACTTGGCGCCTTATGGTTTTCATGTAACCCCAGATCCAAAGAGCGTGGGAAGGTTGCTGACGGCTTCCGATACATCCTTTTCGTAACGAGGCGTTCGCAAAAATTTTGAGACGGTGGGTTTTGGCTTCGTTTAGTCTTCGCTATGCACTAACTGACGGGGTTGCATGGGCGGGTCTGGACACGCATGTTGTATTTGCTAACCATTTTGTCCTTATTTTTCAACCGAAAACGCCTCGCTGGGTGACGAACTGCGCCGACCGATTCTAATGCCGGTTTAGACCTACGTCAGAATTTCATTCGTTCTTCAAGCCAGTCAAACTTATCCTCGACTTGCCTACTACAATTACTGGGTATCCTCTTTCGGCTATGGTTGAACTCAGGGTCGACAGCATTTACAATACATTCGTGTTCTAGCTTCTGTTGGACTGGACTGTGCTTTACGGAGACTTATTTGTCTCGCGCGCCGTATTGCTTGAATCCTTCATTTCCTATAAATATTGAACTATGCCATCCAGGATGATATTACCGACAAAGACACAAAAGACTGAAATAGCTGTCTCTGGCTTATTAGCCGTCGTCAGTCAATCATACCCAACTCCGAGGTGGGGAACACCTTGGGCTCGAACTTGCGACCTATTAGTTAGAAACCCAACACGGGCTCGTCTTCTTGTCGGTTTCCGTCGGGAATATACAATGGTAGGGGGCGCTCACCGATAGTTCTTACGGAACTCACTCGTTCCGTTGTGGGCTCTTTCTCTCTCGAGCTCAGCCAGCAGCCGCACAGCGGCGCATGATATAGGCAGAAAGGATATTACCGAAAAAGACAGGGGAGACTGGAGCGATCGGTGAGCGCGCCTCCTCCATTGCATATTCCAGATCGAAACCGCCAGGGAAACGAACCCATGGCTTAGTGGTTAGATGCCTTGGACTTCTAACTAATAGGTCGCGACTTCGAGCTCCAGGTGTTACACACCTCGGGGCTGGGTATGACTGGCTGACGACGGCTAATAAGCCAGAAATGGCCATTCCAGCCTTCCTTGTCTTTGTCGGCAATAACATCCTTCGTCAGTCATGCGCCGCTGTGCGGCTGCTGGTTGGGCTCGAGAGGGAGCCCGTAAGGCAAAATGGAACGAGTGAGTTTCGTAAGAACGATCGGTTAGCGTCCTTCCACCACATGTCATCTAATTGTTTTTTTCGCAGTTCTCATGCCCATTACTTTGACCGTTTCTATGGTCCCTCCATTCTGCATATAAAGTGAACTCAGTACCCTGAATGCCGTCCCTCCGATGGTCTGGGTTACTTTTATAGACCTATATATATGGGATCGACAGGAATAAGTGCGGGTATTCCACTTTTTACTTCTCCCGTGAATATCTGATCCATCGTGCACGTGTATTACGCATGGACGGGCTGCTTGGGTTTGTAGGCCACGGCGTTCAACCTTCCGTCCGGTCAACTTGGCTCTGTCTTGCCGTCGACCCCAGGTGGGTAGGGGAGGAGAAAGTGCGACATATGCGCGGAAGGCTGTTGTCACTTTCAACCAGTCTACGGGAAAGTCGCCACCCCTGCGCCCACCACGCTCTGGGACACGCAGTGAATATCGTCGTTGGTGACGGTCGAACGATGTGTGCGGATTTCTTAATTAATATTCTGCCTTTACTATTGTTTCAAACAGCCCAAAAAATATCTGGCAGTTACCCCTACGGTTGGGTAGTTTCTCAGTTCACAAACCGTCGACATTTCAACGCAGATTTTTGCAAGATGGCAACTGTAAGTCTACTCTTCGTCCCAGGACCTATGCGGTGCTTCAAGATACTATCATGTTCCGTCATCTACTTTTGTTTCGTAGCCTTTTCCCAAAGTCACCCCACGATTCCCCGCACATTGAATATCCTTATGATATCGCCGTTGGCTATCCTGCCGAAAAATGATGCTGATCCCCTAATTCCTACGTAAGCAGTCGATCATTCTGCAGCCTGGTCATCAAAGTCTGCTACTAAACA